TAAGGCGCCGTCTGCACTACGCCTGAGGATTTTGAAAACACAGCCTCATTTCTGTAGTTATGCCTACCGTTCACACTAATCCCTCACGAAAACGGAGCGTTTCAAAAACAATCTTCAAAGAGGAGACGTTTAAAACGCAGGCTTTTCGTTTTATCTGAAAACGAAGCTTGTGGGAGACGATGACGTCACGATGATCATGTGATTTGCCTGCCAGAGATTTACTCAAACACAAATCCAAGCTGACCGGTGATTGTTCTGTTTTCAAATTTCTCCGGCGTAGTGTGGACGGGGCGGCATAAGATGAAGTATGCTACGTTTTCAGCTCAAAGTTGGCCCGCGTATTATTATTAGTTGTTATACCAAGAAACGGCCTCGTGAGAACTGATAACCTTAAAACAGTGATTAAATATTCATGTACTTCTGTCAGTTCTGCGCAAAAAGGCATCAGCCGGTCTTCTATTTCCAATGCTAATAGACATTATCTCGTGTCCGATTTGCAGGCCATCTTCAAATTAAAATTATTCGCCCCAGTGCTAGACTCAGTCCTGTAACCATTAAAAACTATCAAGTTTCCGTGTTTTTTATTACACAGACTTATCCATCTCGACCAGAATGCGTGTCCAAAGAGCGTACGATTAATAACCTGAGGCTTCGTCCTATTTTGTCAGTCATCCGATTTTTCTTTTCTTTTTCTTTCTTCTTCTTCTTCTTCTTCTTCTTCTTTTTTAATCCAATTATTGTCGAATTGGACAACACGTACCGTGTTGTTCAGAATTAGCCGGTTACAATCTACTTTATGATGTCAGCCCGGTACTCTGCTCGATTATTCTTCCAATTCTTTAGAGAAGATTGCAAATCAGTCAGCTACTGAAACAGATAAAGCCGCCAACTTGAGAACTGTTACCACCAGCTGCTGTGCTACCATGCTTGCAGGCCCACCTTTAATTTTCTTCTCTCCCCTGTTATCCTTTGTTTTCACTCCACCCGTCTTTTTATTCTTGAAGAAAGAAAAAAAAAATTATAAATAAATAATACAAAATAACTAATGTAAATTAAAGGGCGGAAAGGGAAAGGAAGTCGTTTTCTGGTGTCCGCCTTCCTCGCGCTTCACGCTTTTCACGCCTTCCGGTTGCGCGGAAATTGGGGCGAGAGCAAAATATCGACGGAAAGGGTGCTTGTGGGGTGAGCGAGGCCAGGAATGCAAGCAGTCCGACATGTTTGTCTGATCAATGTTTGGGAGTCGAGGGCCATACTTTTCAAAAATCGGCCTCAAATGGCAATGGTCTGTAGCCTGCAACGTCCTTTCTCCAGGTAAGAAGTGTT